TCTCTCTCTCTCTCTCTCTCTCTCTCTCTCTCTCTCTCTCTGTGTATTACATTCTGGCCACAGCTTCCCTCCCATTCTCCCACCCCACCCCACTCCCTACTCCAATCCCATCCAGGAAAGGGCAAGTCTCCCATGAGTATCAATAAAATGGCATGTTGAGTTGCAGTAAGACTGTATTAGGGCTGACCAAGGTGATCCCGTATGAGGAGTAGGGTCTCAAAAGTCAGTAAAAGAGTCAGAGGCAGCCCCTGTTCCTGCTGTAAAGAGTCCCACAAGAGGACCAAGCTATATGACTGTAACATGTATGCAGAGTGCCTAGGTCAGTCCCATGCAGGCTCCCTGGATGTCTATTGGGTCTCTGCGAGCCCCTGTGAGCCCAGGTTAGTTGATTGTGTGAGCCTTCCTGTGGTGTCCTTGACCCCTCTGGCTCATACACTCCTTTCCCCTCCACTGAAGGATTTGTGAACTCCTGCCTAATGTTTGGCTATGGGTCTCTGCGTCTGTCTCCACCGGTTACCGGATGATGCCTCTCGGATGACAGTCACCAATCTGTCACAGGAGACAGCCAGTTCAGGCTACTTATCTGCTATTGCTAGGAGTCTAAGCTGGGTTCTCGCTGTAGACTCTTAGGAGATTCCCCTGCATTAGGCTTCCACCTGACCCTGAAATGCCCCCAACAGTCCCTTAGCACTCTCCCTCTCTGTGCCCCCAACCTAACCACTCGTGTTCACACCCCACCCTCCCTCAGTCCTTAGCACTCTCCCTCTCTGTGCCCCCAACCATCTCAGGGAGGTCTGAGTGTCTCCCCATGAATCCTCCTCGTTACCTAGTCCTCTGGGTCTGTGGATTGTCTTCCTTGGTCTGGGTTACCTCACTCAGGGTGTTTTTTTTCTTTTTTTCTTTTTTCCAGTTCCATCCATTTGCCTTCAAATTTCCTGGTGTCCTTGTTTTTAACAGCTCCATTGTGTAAATGTACCACATTTTCTTTTTCCATTCCTCAGTTGAGGAGCATCTAGGTTGTTTCCAGGTTCTGGCTATTACAAATAAAGCTGCTATGAACATAGTTGGACAAGTGTCCTTGTGGAATGATTGAGCATCCTTTGGGTATATACACAAGTGTGACATAGCTGGGTCTTGTTGATTAGTATCTTAAGTTTTTTCTCTATGTAAGTCACATGCCAACCTGTTGTGTTCCTACCCATGGGTACAGTCATTATTTTCTTATGTCAAATCAACATAAAAGCACTAATAGATGATTAGCATTCATCAGAACTTCAGGTCCAAAGTTCATTTAGGACCTATCTTTGAGGGTACTGGGCCTTACTGCTCTGCTCTGTTTCTAACAAACTAGCCTGGGGCTGCCCTGAATTGTGATTCTCATTCTCTTATTCTCTCTCTCTCATTCTCTCTCTCTCTCTCATTCTCTCTCTCTCATTCTCTCTCTCTCTCTCATTCTCTCTCTCTCATTCTCTCTTTCTCTCTCTCTATCTCTCTCTCTCTCTTCTTTTGGTTTTTTTCGAGGCAGGGTTTTTCTGTGGCTTTGGAAGCTGTCCTGGAACTAGTTCTTGTAGACCAGTGTGGTCTCAAACTCACAGAGATCTGCCTGCCTCTGCTTCCCAAGTGCTGGGATTAATGGCATGTGCCACTACCGCCTGGCTGAATTGTGTTTGTATAATGAACCCGTGCCTTACATCTTACACCCCCAGATGTCCTCCTGCCCTATACTCTTGGACCCGAGGTATCCATTTCCCTACCTCCGTGTATCTTTGGTGCTTACCTGCCCTGTATTTCTGAACCCCCAGTGTTTATCTGTCCTAACCTGTGTGCCTCTAGGTGTTCATCCAAGCCCTCTGACTATGCAGTCATTTGAGACTTTGTTCCTTGGGGCATATGTATTTGGGTCCAGTGCAGCCACATTGCTTCCTTGTGGGCATTTTTCTTTGTTTTGTTGTGGTTGTTCCTTTTGTGAGACAAGACTGACTTCAGGGCCTGGATCAGCTGCTGTTTTCATTGGTAGTATAAAATATCTGGAGAAAGCAACATAAGGAAGGTTTTTGTTTGTTTGTTTGTTTGTTTGTTTGTTTTTTGGCTTATGGGTTGAGGGAACAGACCATCCTGGCAGCAAGAGCAGTGGTAGTTGTATCTGCAGGAGCGTGAGGAGCTGGTTACACAGCACATGCAGTTAAGGCACAGAGATGGGATGTTGATGCTCCATTTCATTTGGTCATGGGATGGTGCTGCCCACATTTTTCTCCTCTAGGAAGCTTCTCGAAACTGTAACAGACACATCCAGGTTATTCTAAGTCCTACCAAGTGGCAGTCTAGATTTTCCCAGGACCCAAGCTGGACTAAGATGCTCTACCACCAGTGTTCAAAAGTGCTCTTAACCTTATTGGATTTCTGGAGTCTCACACGGGTTCTTTTTTTTTTTTTTTTTTTTTTTTTTTGTTTTTTGGGAAAGGGTTTTTTTTTTTTTTTTTTTTTTGGTTTTTCGAGACAGGGTTTCTCTGTGTAACAGCTTTGGCTGTCCAGAAACTCACTTTGTAGACCAGCCTGGCCTCAAACTCACAGAGATCCACCTGTCTCTGCCTCTCTGAGTGCTGGAAGGCTCACACAGATTCTTTTAAGAGGGGTCCCCAGGCTTCTGTGTCCAAGCTAGGCCTGCAGTATCGTCTTCCTGGTGTCTATCTGGGGAGACAGCCAGACTTGCTTATGGCTTGGCCAGAATAAAAGGTGGGTGAGAGAGTTAGGTGCTGGTTATGCACTTGTTGAAAACAATGTTTTTTCTTTTTCCATAGTGTGCATTTTAATAAAGAACTTGTCACTTTCCAGAATGCCCTTTAAAGGTGACACCGTTATAGGTAGGTGCTTTCCTCAATGACACAGATAACATTTTCTTAATACTGTTAATCAAGTTGCAAATAAGAGATGAACTTGTTGGGGTGGGATGAAGGATTATAGTTGAAAGGGTCACAATATTGGTACATCTTGAAATTGGGGCAAACTCCTGCCACCCTCTTCTAGAACAGACAGGGAAGTTATTCTGGACCCTTCCATTGGTGCTCTTAGCTGTAGCTCTGCCTGCCACCATTGTACCCAATCCTGGACATTGTGGTTATTCCTCTCCTGGTGTTTATTTATTACCTACATGGTTCTTATTGCTGAAACAGAGGCTCCGTATCCCTCAAGCCTACTGTACCCTGGTCTAAAGTTACTAATTTTATTTAGCTGAACAGAGTAAGCATATATCCAGTTCATTTATTGGATGTAATTGAGTTAAAGTTGTGTTTAAGTTGTCAGGGACCTAGAGAGATTGTCCAAGGGAGAGAAATGAGAAAAGATCACTTGAAGCTTGCAACAGTAAACAAAGCAAAAAGTTCCCTATCATGATGGGCAAGTCTTTCCTATGAAATTTCATAGGAAATGACATTTTTTACACAGTGATGGTAGAAGCATCACTGTAGGGGTGCTGGCTTTTAGCAGCCTGAGGTGGGCTCACTCCTGGAACTGGGTCCCTTGAACTTTTGTGCAGTGTGAAGAATGTTCACTCTAGAGTTTTTCCAGGATGCATTCGAAGGGTCACCATCTGCTCTAAGACAGAGCCAAAGATGATTGGTTGTTTTAAATGTCAGCTGACTACTCTGAGGGAGGTAAGTCATTATCTTTGCTTCTTGGGCAGATGGTTGGCAGTGGCTGATAAATGACACTCTCAGAAGCCTTCACTTTGTTTCAAGCCATTCCAGACAACAGATCAAGGTATGCTAAGCAAGATTTCTTTCTCCTGTGCAGAGAATGACAGAAATGCTGTCTGTAGTGGCCCTTTCATGCACTAACCTCACAATCCACAATACCATCATTGGGCCTGCATGATTTACACTGGTAGCCTAGAATCACTATTGGTAACCAGAAACTTTACTCTTTCTTACTACACTTTCTTTCTCTACCAGTCCCTTTCTCTATTTTGCCAGTAACAGTATGCTTAGGTCATACCTGAGTTCTGGTAGCTGTAGGTTAGGTCTCGAAAGTATTCACATGAAGGTGAGAAAAACACAAACCAGACTCTGCTTGAGCTGCTAGGGCTTATGTTCATGTCTTGGGGTGAGGTGGCCTTAGATGGCAGACCTGTGACAGTAACTGTAATTGTTGATGTTTTGGAAAGGCTCTGCTATGCCAGATGAGGAATGGAAGCACATTCATGCTTACATGAGCCCCTGCCTACCCTGTGCTGATTTCTGTGGAATTCTGGCACAGTCTTCCTGGTTAAATTTGGAGGCCTCACGGTTCATGTTGCAGAATTTTCATTTAACACTATCCATAATCAAGTCCCACTGGCTATGACCATGATACTCTTTGCTGCTCAGCTAGTGCATGTAGCATCTCTGTGATGTACTGAGGAACTCCCATCCTGATCTTTACCCAGTCCCTCCTCCGTCTCTTTCTCCTTGGTTTCGGGGTGGGATTGAATGGAAGGTTTGATTGAGCTGGAGTCATCTGTTGCAGACTGTGGAGGTGGGTAAGCAAGGAGATGTCTCATCGCCACCTCCTGGTCTGTGTGACACTGCATCTCCCTGCCTCCATCAGGGTTACTGGGCTAACACTGGTCCCTCACCCTGTCTATTCTGAATACACTTCTGTGGAGATGCCCAGGGACTTTCCCGTTCTCTAAACGAGTTCCCACTTCAAGTCCTTGTCCACAAAAACAACACGCTCAGTCCCCACATTGCTTCTGCTGTGAAGGGAAAAAATGTTTTATATTAACTGTGCCATATAAGAACACATAAAAATTGTACTGTGTGGAAGAAATAGAGTTCTTACTCTATTCTATGACTAAAGACTTCTCAGACAGATGCTTTATTCACTCAAGTCCTCTCTCTTTTAGGAGGCAGCTGTCTCGGCCCTGGCCGCCCTCTGCAGTGAATACTACATGAAGGAGCCTGGGGAGGCAGGCTCTGCCGTGGAGAGTGAGTGGGCTGCATGCTGCACCAAACGCAGGGACCCACAGTATGGAGGGGAGCTGGGTGATGTCCAGCGAGCTTGGCCTGAGTTAGCCAGTGGAAACAACCTGTCTGATCACCTTCCTGGACTTAATCTCTCGGAACCCACCCAGCTCATGCCAGGCAGCTGGGCTCTGGGAAGAGGGTTCTAATTACACAGTAACCTTCACGTGGTCTCTCCTGAGCCACTTGGGTTCAGGCCATGTTCTTAGATTCATCCAGACAGCACAGCTGCCTAAAGAGGCATCTTAATCTCTGAACAGGGAGCTTCCCTGGGACACGACTTCCTAGAGACTCTGCATAAAAATCACTTGTCCATGCAGGACTGTGGTGGTGCACACCTCTAATCCCAGTGCTTGGGAGGCAGAGGCAGGTGGACCTCTGTGAGTTCCAGGACAATCAGGGCTACAGAAAAACCCTGTCTCCAAAAACCAGCTAAACAAACAAGCAATCAAACAAACAAAAAAACCAAAACTGCCTATCTAGTAGTCTACATTTTTATGATTTTTTTTCAAAAATACTTGAATTTGATCTTCTGGCAGATACTTTTTGTGTGTGGTCTATCTATCTGTGCATTCACATTTGTGCAAATGGAGGCTAGAGGTTGCTGTTGTTGGTGTCTTCTTTAATGTTCCCTCACCTTTTTTTTTTCTTTCTTCTTCTTTTTTTTTTTTTTTTTGGTAAGGTCTTCCACTGAACCTGGGCTCACCAGTTATGCTGCACAGTGAGCCCCAGGAATCTTCTAGTCTACCTCCCTAGTTCCGGGATTATAAGCATATGCTACCATGTCTGGCTTTTTTTACATGGTTGCTTGGGATTCAAACCCAGGTCCCCATGCCTAAACAGCAAACACTTTACTGACTGAGTTGTCTTTGGCAGACTTTCTCTTTTTGTTTTTAATCTTTATCTCTATTTTACATGTGTGAGTGTTTGCCTGCATGTATATCTGTGAATCACTTGTGTGCCTGATGCCCACAGGAGCCAGAAGAGGGTGTCAGCTCCCCTGAAACTGAAGTTAAAGATAGCAGACTTTAAACTAGTAATTTTTACAGTATTCCTCAACCATAGGCAACTTTGTACAGACAGTATCATTATATGTAGTATGTCTTTTAAAAGTAGAACAATAAGGTCACATTTTACTTTTCAAATAGAAAGTACCATGTCATGTCTATTTGAAAATAAATGGTGTTCCCACATAACCACTGTTGCTAGAGTTTCCTGCAGCTATTTGGCCACAAATAAACACACGGAGACTTATATTAAGTATAAAATAGTTGGCTGGTGGCTAGGGCTTCTTATTGGCTAGCTCTGTCTTAATTATTAATCCATAACTACTAATCTATGTATTTACAAGTGGTCTTTGCTTACCAGAGACTGCCCAGACCTGTTACTCCTTTGGCGGCCTACATGGTGACCCCTGTCTGCCTACACTTCCCAGAATTCTCCTCCTCTGGTAGCCCCGCCTATCCTTCCTGCTTGGCTACTAGCCAAACAGTGTTTTATTCATTAACCAATAAGAGAAACATACATACAGAAGGACACCCCCATCAACCACTGGTGTGTTTAAACTTGGGTATACCAAAAAGAGACTTTTTTTCACATGACTACTGAAGTGACTTTGTTCGAATGTGTGAATTGAGAGTGTTCTGCTTTTCTTCCCCTACATTTGAGGATGGATACAATGTGTTTCTAGGGTTTCAGTGAATGGGTCCTAGTGGCCAGTGATGGCCAGTGTCTGGCAAGCAGGACACAGTGATGGTATCTGCCCTCTCTGCACCTTGTTTAGCAGCACTGTAAAAAACTGAACTAGCTACCCACTTTCAAAGTCCTTCCTCTCACCCTGCTCTGAGCCCCTAGGCTTCTCAGGTTCTGTCTCTCCTTTGAGATCTTTGTTCCTGTCACTGCTGCATTCATAGCCTTGTGTGCTTGGCCAGCATGTGCCCTTACTCCTCTTGCCCCAGAATCACAGTGTCCCAAATCTTTGCTGTCAGCTTGGACCTGTATTCACTCCTTTCTTAGTGGACTCTTGTTATTAGGATGTTGTATTTACCAAAAGCATTTATATACTTAGTAAGTAAAAGTGAGAGTTCTGAAAGTGTCTGCTGTTCTTCTAACTGTGTCAAATTTATTTTCCTAATAATGAAGCCATATAGTTAAAATTTCTTATGAAAGCTAGGTTTGGTAGTGCATGTCCATGATCCCAGATAAGCTATCATAGCTCTTAATACATGGGGAGGCCACAGCATTGTGAGTTCAAAATCAGCCTGGTTTAAATAGAGGGACTTTGTCCCAAACAAACAAAAACAAAACACAGATACAAAAGAAAAAAATCTTAAGGAGCTGAGTGCTGGTGGTGCTCACCTTTAATCCCAGCACTGGGGAGGCAGAGGCAGGCGGATCTCTGTGAGTTCAAGGCTAGCCTGGTCTACAGAGTGAGTTCCAGGACAACCAGGACTGTTACATAGAGAAGCCTTGTCTAAGAAAACCAACCAATCAACCAACCAACTAACCAAATAAATAAATAAACAAATAAATGAAAATTAAAAAAAAATCTTAAGGAAACCCTAAAACCACCTTATACAATTCTTCTTATATCTTATAACTTACCTTGAAGGTATGTCTGCATCAAAACATTGTCCTGGCTTACCTGATACATCCCACTTGTATTTCTGAGGGGTACCACTAGACAGAGGCCACTTCTAAACATTTCTTACTTTCTTTTCAGCGGAGCTGATTCCACAGTACCTTGCTGAGCTCCAGAGCCCAGAGGAGATGACCCGCTGTGGTTTCTCCTCAGCCTTGGGTGCCCTCCCAAATTTCCTTCTCAGGGGTCATCTGCAGCAGGTGAGGGTACCAACAGCCCCAAGGGGGCACAGATTTCTGAAGGGCTGGCAACTAATCTGCACACCTCTGTTTGGGAAGGAATTCTCAGCATTAGCATGTGTGGCCATGAAGACAGTGACTGCTGCATCTGCAGTATGTGGGCTAACTGCTCTTGCAAGGCAGTTAGAGAGCTGCCCTCAAGTCTGTAGGATAGGAAGGCACTGTCCTAAGAAACTGCTGCCTGGATGAGAAAACAGTAGCCTCTGTGCAGAAGCTAGATCCTGAAGTGTCTTCTATTCCATCTCAAGTTACTTCCCAAATAGCAAAACCACATAGTTAAAATTCTTTAGGACATTTTATGTACCTGATGTCCTACCTTGTTTGTTGTCATGCAGGGAGGTAGGCTAGCTATGAGTGTCCTATGGGCTTCTTTTCTGCCTGTGCCTCAGAAGACTATATTATCTATTATTATTTTGCTTCCTGTTGAGATGCTATTATTCTTATTAAGGCTGTGGCTATCTGAACAGAGCAAGGTGGTTCAGGTATTACCCTCTCAGGCTTACCAGGCCCCCTCATCCATCCCCTGTAGTCTTGAAAGACCAAGAGGTATTTTTCTCTGCTGGTTGCACCACTGAAAGCCTTGAGCTGACAAGCCATTGAGTTGAGAAGCTTATTCATTTCTTCCATTTAGATTTTTTACCCCAGGTGCCATGTGGTACCCTCTGCCTCAGTATCATTTTCTCACACTGTCTCATCTACTTTGATGTGGCCTGCTGTCTCCCCATTGTCTGTCCTTCTCAGCATCCTAAATCACTTGTCCTTGTCTAAGCCCTGGGCATGCCTCCAGTTTGGCTTTGCAGACTTTACTTTCCCCACTCACATAGTCCATTAAGCTCATTTTTTTTTTTTTTTCTGTGGGTTGAAATACCAGGCTTGGTCCTTCCAGCACCCCTCCCCCAAGATGCTCTTGCTATTGTCTATCCCTGCTGCCTGCCATACAAGCTGGGATGCAATAAGACAAGCTCTTCACATTTGCTTCTATATAAATTGGTTCTCTTTCCTCCTATGGGATCAGGCAGCTTTTGATGTTGTGATAAATAGGCCTTTTACCCTGTACAAAGCTGAGTATTGCGGTTGTAATAACTGAACTCACCCTGGGGTTTTTCCACTTGAAATGTGGATAAACATTAAAGATTTTAGAACTGAGCTATTGAGCCCTGGGCCTACAAGGTGGCTCACTGAATAAAATCACTTGCTGGGCAAACCTGGTGATCCAAGTTTGATTCCCTAAAACCTGCCTAAAGGTAGAGAGAACCAATTCCACAAATTTGTCCTCTAACCTCCATGAATAGGCTATATCATATGTGATTACACACACACACACACACACACACACACACACACACACACACACACACACACACACGGCAGGGAGAGTAGGTGGGAGAAAATATACAAGTATTATTGCTCATTTTTGTTGGGAGCCAGAATGCCAGCTGTCCTTTGTCCAAGATGGGAATGACAGACAGGAATATCTTATAGGGATGAGGCCAGATCCATGGCAGTTGCTGGAGTCTGGGTACAGCAGAGGGGAGGCCGTGGGATGATCCCTTTTCATATGTTCTTCCAGAAGCTGCATTGGGGCCTGTTGTCTTATGTGGGAGGCATGTCCCATGAGCTGCCCTGCAAGCCACACTCTTAGCTACTGTGTCCTGTGGCTCCAGAGCCACATCTCTGAAACAGACGTGTGCTGACAGCCATGTCTGGTGGTAATACGCAGGACTTAGGATAGAGGATTCTCAAGCTGGGCTGCATATTGAGACTGTCTAAAATACGTGTTTACTTTGTAGCTGATGCTTCTTTTGGGGACTGTTTTTCCCTTAGGTTCTCACAGGTCTGAGAACAGTCACCTGTACTTCTCCCAAGGATGTAAGCTTTGCTGAGGCCAGGAGAGACAGTTTGAAGGCGATCTCAAGGTGAGCCTCTGGCATGGCAGGTGGGCATCAATAGGCACCACCAGGGTTATCTATCATGGTAGCACAGAGCAGAAATGTATAGAGATGTTGTGTTATTTCTTGTTTTCTAATGTCTTCCCCTTTAGAGCATTGTCAGGGAGTGTTTGCATCTTCACTTGAAAACCACCTCAGAAACCAAGGGACAGTGGTTTGAGGCTAGCCCTGGCAACATCGGAGGCCTTATCTCAAACCAGACACAAACAAACCAAAGCATCGTGCTGGCTTTGGGACTAGCACAGTGGCAGAGTGCTTGTTGAGAATGTACAAGGCTATGGGTTCCAGGCCCAATCCCATTAAATAAAAAAAATAGGATGGATGAAGAATTGGGGATTGTGCCTCACCTTGAGGCTGGCAAAAGGTGCAATGCCTGAATCTTGTGTCTTAGGGACTTCTGTCTGTAGATGCAGTATGTAGGGTCATGTGGTTCAGTAAGCCCATTCAGTTTTGACTTCTCGAAGCAGCATAAACCTTTTATCAGGGTGGAAGACAGAAAGAGCCAGCTACCTTGCAGACTGCAGGGGCAGCGAAGGTGACTTCACAGTGAGCAACATTCTGCACCTGCTGTGGGGAGGGTACCCTGGGCCTCTATGTCTGCCCCAGGCTCCTATGCCATGCTGAATGTTCCCCACAGCAAGGCACTTGAGGCCACTGTAATGTGAAGGATGAGCTCACAGACATGCATATTTTAATTTCAGAATTTGCCAGACAGTTGGTGTGAAAGCAGAGGGTCCTGCAGATGAAGTCATGTGTAAAGAGAACATTTCTGAAGTTTATTCTGCATTGCTGGGCTGCATGAGTGATTACACCACAGACAGCAGAGGGGATGTGGGAGCCTGGTAAGGACATTGTCTGTAGTATGAATTCTCTGTTGTCCTGTGAATGTCCTGAGACCCGGCACTTGAAACAACAGGCATTAAGTCATGGTAGAAACTGTCATAGGAGTGGCTACACTAATGTCTCAGGTGAGCAGGCCATGAACTTGTGCTTTCCTGCTCTGCTGCCCAGGCACTGGGAGTCCTTTGAGTCTGTCTGGTTGTCTTTCCTTCCTCCTCCAGTAGGGCAAGTTTCTTGCCCGGGTTGCAGAAACACCTTGTAAGGGAGAGAGAACGAGGCTGCTGCGGATGTCTGAGCCAATGGCTCTGACATGTCTCACACTCCCTCCTGCTGGCTATAGGCAATGCTGTTACGAGCTCAGAAACAGCTTGTAGAAGATGCTGCCTTGATTGCGATCCAAACATGGAGAGAGCATATTATTCCTTGTATAGAATGATTCAGACTTTGTTTATTTATAAATTATAATTTAACTTTATTTTATGTGCATTGGTGTGAAGGTATCAGATCCCCAGGAACTGGAGTTATAGACAGTTATGAGCTGCCATGTGGGTACTGGGAATTGAACTCTGGTCCTCTGGAAGAGCAGCCAGTGCTCTTAACCTCTGAGCCATCTCTCCAGCCCAGACTTTATTTTTTAACATGTTCTTTCTGCTTATTAATTTTCCCTTCTTCTCATATTGGGTACCTATCCAGTTGTTTATTCTCAAATCCTATTGTCTAGCTGGTCACCCCACTTTACAGATCATTTTGGAGATCCTCCATGTCTTCACATTCTGGAAACTCAAGAACTTGTCACATGCCCAACAGATCCTTTTTGTACAACTTTTTGTTGTTGCTTTTCTTTGGTTGTATAAATGCTGTCAGTCTGTGCTCTGCTCACCGACTCTTTATTTTTTTTCTACTATTAAGCTCATCTAATAGTTTTAATTTCATGTTACATTGATCATTAATTTGACTTTGAACTGGGTCTTTCCAGTTTGTTTGCTGGCATTTCCTCTAGTCTTCTTCATTGTAAACATAGCTTTCTCCTCCCTAGGACAACTCCCTTCAGGTTCCTCAGCTGTTATGGATTGAGTTGTCTGTGAAGATATCTGTGTAGATACAGGAAGGGCTTTCCTGTGGCTGACTTCAGTCTCATCAGAGCCTGGAGTATGGAAGCTTCGAGGGGCCCCATGGCCATTTCCCACACTGCCAGGCTCTCCCAGCACAGCTGAAGTGTGGCTACCCAGCTACAAGGCATCACCACCTGGCTGCTTTAGTGTCTCTTAGCAAGATGTCCATGAGAAATGGCTCTTTTGGTCTGACCTCAAGGGTTCCTTAGTGACAATGGTCATCTCGTCTTGCCAGATGATTTATTGAGCCTGGTTGTCTTTTTCCTTGAGAAGGATCTGTCTTCTTGGTTGTGGCATGCCATGTGGGCTGGGATGCCTTGGACATGTTTTGTTGTGCAGACCCTTCCAGAATGGGCTACTTAGAGGCTTGACAGCAGGCAGTGGCCTAAGTTGGCATTGTGAACCCAGCCCACTTGGGACTGGTGACTTGAGTCTGTGATAGATATTGGCAGGTCCTAGGTTTCTTCTCAGGCCCCTGAATTCCCAAGAGACCTGCTTGACCTGGATTCCTTCTTGTGGTTCAAAACAGAGAAATGATGAGTGTTGTCCTTGAAAGATGTGAACAGACATCTATTTACCCAGTATAGGGCACTGAAGACAGACCAAAGGAACAATTCTACCCAAGTCTAGCTTAGCAAGCCGTGGGTATAGGGCACTGAAGACAGACCAAAGGAACAATTCTACCCACGTCTAGCTTAGCAAGCCGTGGGTATAGGGCACTGAAGACAGACCAAAGGAACAATTCTACCCACGTCTAGCTTAGCAAGCCGTGGGTATAGGGCACTGAAGACAGACCAAAGGAACAATTCTACCCACGTCTAGCTTAGCAAGCCGTGGGTATAGGGCACTGAAGACAGACCAAAGGAACAATTCTACCCACGTCTAGCTTAGCAAGCCGTGGGTATAGGGCACTGAAGACAGACCAAAGGAACAATTCTACCCACGTCTAGCTTAGCAAGCCGTGGGTATAGGGCACTGAAGACAGACCAAAGGAACAATTCTACCCACGTCTAGCTTAGCAAGCCGTGGGTATAGGGCACTGAAGACAGACCAAAGGAACAATTCTACCCACGTCTAGCTTAGCAAGCCGTGGGTATAGGGCACTGAAGACAGACCAAAGGAACAATTCTACCCACGTCTAGCTTAGCAAGCCGTGGGTATAGGGCACTGAAGACAGACCAAAGGAACAATTCTACCCACGTCTAGCTTAGCAAGCCGTGGGTATAGGGCACTGAAGACAGACCAAAGGAACAATTCTACCCACGTCTAGCTTAGCAAGCCGTGGGTATAGGGCACTGAAGACAGACCAAAGGAACAATTCTACCCACGTCTAGCTTAGCAAGCCGTGGGTATAGGGCACTGAAGACAGACCAAAGGAACAATTCTACCCACGTCTAGCTTAGCAAGCCGTGGGTATAGGGCACTGAAGACAGACCAAAGGAACAATTCTACCCACGTCTAGCTTAGCAAGCCGTGGGTATAGGGCACTGAAGACAGACCAAAGGAACAATTCTACCCACGTCTAGCTTAGCAAGCCGTGGGTATAGGGCACTGAAGACAGACCAAAGGAACAATTCTACCCATGTCTAGCTTAGCAAACCCGTGGGTCTACTCAAGTTCCTTACAGGAAGGAACATAGATAAGGAGTGACTCAAAGGCAGCTGTGTCACTCAAAGGCACTCCCTAACAGGGGTGATGGTTCACAAAAACTGCATCTCTGGGGACTTGTGCTCTACTTGAGGCAGCTCGCAGCTGAAGAGTTTCCTCTCCCCAGCAGTTTTTACTGCTTTTATGACCTTGGGGAGGAAGCTCCGTGGATCTTGCAACATTCTGAGCTTCCTAAGTTTCATTACTTTCCTGAATCTCATGAGCCCCTGCTCCCAAAGCAATTTCAGTTTGGAGTAAATAGTTATACAACAGTGTGTTTCTTTGTAGTCTGCCTGGCACTGATATACCACTTAAAGCAAAGCAGAAACGACTGGTGCTGGGACCTCTTCCTCAGACCTGGTCCTTGGGATCTGACCCTCTGTGGTATTTATTCTATCTTAGCTCACTCTCCAAAGATGGGCCTCCAGGATTCTGCTCCCCGGGGGATCATTGTAGAATTACCTGTAGTGAATGGTGCAATTCTAGGCATTCTTTAATTTTTTTTTCCTTTATTACATCATTTCTCCCCATTCTTTCCTCTCTCCAAACTCCGATATACCTCTCTTTTTGCTCTTTCAAATTCATGGCCTTTTTTTTTTTCATTAGTTGTTGTTATGTA